AAGGAAGTTATTAAAAACCTTTCCCGAGTATCAAGAATTAAAAAGCCACTGAAACTAAAAACTATAAAATAATAATATATATGTCTGCCACCAGTCAGAAGCAAGCTGTCGTCCAAAACATTAAAAATGATTTCCAACAAGCCAAGGCAGTTATTTTTTACAACTTTCACCAGGCTGAAAATCGGGAACTTTTTCGTCTAAAAAAAGAATTGAAAAAAGTTGGAAGTCATTGAAAAGTCTATAAAAATAAGTTAGTAGAAAAGGCTTTGCCTGCCCACCCCTTAAAATTACAACAAGCCAATGCTTTTATTTTTTGTCAGGAAGACGAATATAAGCCATTAAGTATTCTCAATAAATTTAACAAAAAATATTCCGGTATCAAACGATTTCAAGGTGGAATTTATGAGCAAAAATTAGTAGCAAATACCCTGCTGGAAAAATGAGCCAACTTGCCAAGCAAAGAGGTTCTAATGAATACTTTGCGCTATTATCTCAATTTTCACACTAGAAGACTTGTTAATGTTTTAGAAAAAATCAAATCAGCCAAAGAAGAAAATCAATAAAATATGTCAGAAATAAAAAATAATAAGAAAGTAAATGAAATTATCGAAGGAATAAGCAGTTTAAGCCTCGGAGAAGTAAGTGAGTTAGTAGACAGTATTAAGGAAAAATTTAATATCCAAGAAACCGCAATAGTTCAAGCAGCAGCAGTTACCCAAGAAGGCGAAAAAACTGAGGAAAAAGGTGGTAATGTCACTCTACATGTATCAGAAGTTGGTGCCCAACCAATTAAAGTTTATGGAGAAGTAAAGGAAGTGGTTAATAGTGCTGGTGGCGAACAAATAAATATTGTCAAGGCTAAGCAAATGATCGACCAAAAAAAACCAATTTTAGAAAATATTCCTAAGGCGAAAGCCGAAGAATATAAAAAACGATTAGAAGATAAAGGAGCGAAAGTAGAAATTAAATAATTTTAATTAATGTCATATTGAACAATTAATTCAGGAAAAAATTCACGTCGTGAATATATAGGGGCTAATCGTTCGCCCCTTTTTCGAGGTTTACCTGAGCGAGACTACGCTCGAGAACAAAAATCATCTTACACAAAATTTCTTCACGAAAGATTACCACAGTTATTATCCTTCTATTTTCCCGCTGAATTTAGCGATTATAATAACAACATTAAGATAAATGTGGAAAATCTTGTTTATCAGGAACCAGAGATAACGGAGGAGATAGCCCGAGCCGAATCCCTTACCTGGAGTTACCTAGTTTCTTTTGACTGAAAAGTTGCTTGGGATTGCCATAAAATACAAATTAAGTTGTTAGATAATGACTTTAAAAAGTCCATTAATCAATGAATAGAAGAAAGTTTCAAAATCAAAAAGTTCACTTGTAAGGAAAAAACTTCCGGCAAGTGAGAAATAAAGGAAATCAAAGGAAATTTAAAAATCAGCCTAGAAATATTAGAACAGGAGGAAGATGACTTAATTGTTAAATTTCATTGCCAGCAGGAACAAAAAGTAGATTTCTGCCATTTACCAAAAATGAATCCGCAAGGAAATTTCATTATTAACGGTCATAATAAAGTGGTAGTCTTTCAGTCAGTGCGAGCTCCGGCAGTTTATTATTATTTTGGGGAAGAAGAAAATGAATTTTTAGGGGAAATTATTCCTTTTAAGGGGCCTTGGATTAGCATTTCTTATAGTGCCAAAAAACCGCTGGCCATTGAGTTAAAATTTCTTAATTCAGGACTAGTGTTTGATTTCCTAAATGTCTTAAAAACATTTGCGGTTTCCCCTGAACTTCTGAG